GGATTCTAGGACAGCATCCTATATAATTTGATGAGGGGTACTCGTTTGAGCGATCGTGTCACAACATTATCCAAGGAAAGTGTTTCACAAGTGAACCAGCACCGTTCTAAATCATGATTACCGGCCACTTGAATATCGTTGGAAGGAACCTATGGCACATCATGGATGAAGATGGTGTTTAGGCTATCTTGCTTGCTGTATTCCTCGGTGCTTCTTTTCGATTATTGCACGATCCAGTGCACATCAGGATAGATGCATTTCTCACAGGATCCGTGTTGCAGCGCACATGCGGAGAGTAAAACGTTCTTTACATCAGTGGAGGATCCCAGTGTTACTCTCTCTCTCTCTCTCTCTCTCTCTCTATATATATATATATATATATATATATATATATATATATATATATATATATATATAGCCATCAGAATCATGGCGGAATAAAAAACAAGAATAGTAAAAAAGAACGTGTAACAGTATTCCCTCAGTTTTTGAGTTCTTTTTAACTGTTTGTTTAATCGGGGAAGAGAAGGGAAATCACTGCAACACGCAGAGATACACGTCCGCCACTGGTGTCGGTCTTGAGCCATAACTTCCAGAGCCTCCAACCAGTGACACTCCTTGGCTCTGGGACCTCAACCAGGGAGTCGAGAACAACCGCCTGAGATCAACTGTTTCGCCAGGTTTTTCATGCGGCTTCTCCGTGTTGTAGATTGTTCACCGCGCCGTCGCCTCCGGTTCTGTCTAGAAACCGCGAATAACGCCCGACACGGAAGATGATGAGCGGGCATACGCAGTATGTTTCCAAGCCACTGCAGCTGATGCAGCGGGACGAGCTCCTCGAACGAGTGGCTGCCTCCACCCAAGACACGCTGTCTAACTTCCACTTTGGATACGTAGTGCAGCCACCACACACGGGCAATGGACTGCAAGCAACGGTGCCCAAAGAGAGAGACAGCACAGGTCAATGGTACGAACAGGCCAAGCCTCTGTACAACAGTACAGCGCGGACAGCGGCACGAATGTCATGGCGGCGTCACGAGTGCCTCAGCTTAGAGAAAGCGAAGTGAGCTCTTGAGAAACGCATCGAAATTTCGTCTCCAACAGCTCCACCGGCTGTGATGCAACTTTCCAGGCAGGCAAAACTCTCCTTAACCTCTAGTGTCTCACCAGCAAGAGTGAGTGCAGGTACAGGCATCTGAAAGTTGGAAAAGAGCTTTGCACTTGGACGGGGAAACAGCCATCCTAAGTTTTAACTATTCAATCGCTAAGCGATTGAGCGCAAGTTGGACGGCATGTGGACTGTCACCCAGCAAGACGATATAATCAGCATAGTCCAGGTCAACAACTCGGCTACTTGGAAGGAGCTCAATGCCAGCGGTCAGCAAAACTTCCAGAACATTTTTGAGGACATCCTCAATGGCAAAACTGAAAAGGAATAGTTATATAGGGCATCCTTGCCGAGCTCCACTAGTGACAACAAAGGAAGGCGAAAGCTTGCCAAGAGCTCTAACTCTACTCGAGGTCAGACTGTACATAGCACGCAGTACAGAAATGAACTTCCCGGGGACGCCATTCCTCAACAAACGGTGCCACAGTGCAGACTAGTCGACAGAATCGAAAGCAGCGTGGATATCCAGGAACACAACAATCGTTGGCTTTTGGTACACATGGCGGAGCTCGAGGATAGGGCGGAGTGCGAGGAACTGATCGATGCAGCCGCGGCCAAGGCGGAACCCAGAATGTTCTTCCCGCTGTGGCGATTCGCGCATTGGAGATAACATTCGAAGTATGATGGACACCAGAACTTACAAACGACGGGAACCAAGCTGTGCACGGGCTCTTTTTGAAGATGGGGACGACAATGGACCAACCCAAGATGATTGAATCTCCTCTTTCAGTCAGACCTCTGACAATAAAGCAGTAATTTCTCGAACCAGCGAATAGCCGCCATGTTTAAATAGGGCGGAAGGTAAGCTTTATAGCGCTGAAAGAGACGGACTTCCTGCCGGATTTCCTGGTGAGAAGGAGGATCTGTGGGGACAGACTACTCAGCACCAGTGAGCGCTCCAGGGGAAGCAGATGAAGCTGGTGATCAGCAAAACTGCGAGCCAGTGTTCAACCCATCGTTCCAACCGTCGTTGAAGATCAGTGGGTCATCCTTTTCGCAGATCGTTTCGCTTATACCAGATCAGAAACCTTAAGTGGCTCGGAGATGAAAAAGTTTTCCGGTATTACCAGTAGGGCTAGCGAGTTCCCTCTCTCTAGCACGTTCACACCACCAGATTTCACCGTCCTTTTGTAGCCTCCTGCGCAATTCTCGATCTAGGGATGTTCGTTCTTCACTACAACTAGAATCGGCAGGGACTGATCTGCATCTGTACACCAGCGATAAGGAGACAGCACTGATCCAGATTTTCGGTGGGTGATTGGTGACTCCGCAGCTATCAATGCTGGCGGAAACTAAGGCATTTTTGATTCGCATCCACTGTGTTCCCCTAATAAGTCTGGGATCGCCACAGTGTGCAGAGTTCGGGTGACGAGTAACCCGTACTAGGTTTATGGATTTGGCTTTGACACTCATTAGAACGCACAATGAGTTCCATCGGTCTTGGTCGTCCGACAACTTACCCCACAATGTGATGGCGGTAGATTCGGGGACATGTGAGCACACAACCGTCAGGGTATCATTGTTAGATCCTTTTTGTGTTGAGCTACAACGTGGGGTAATCGTTTGTCCTGACCTGCTGTCTACTGTTTGTCTCTCTATTCATGTTAGCGTTGATTGCAGCAGAAAAGACCGCAAGGGCGACCTCCCGACAGCAGTCTCAACATATGTAACTGATGTCTCGGGGGACTTTGACTCGATAAGACCTCTGAGCTGCAGATGCAGAAAGCTGGTGTTCGGCAGCCCCATTCTTAATAATGACAGAGGTCAAGTCTGGTGGAATTTGATTAACCAGACGTTTCGGGTGGTGCCGGATTTTCAATGCCATGAGTGCTGTTTGACTCTCGTAGTTATAGTCAATTTTCGCCTGGTGTTCTGCCAAAGTTAAAGGAGACAATGGCAATGGAGACCTAACTGATTGTGGTTCAACTGGAGCAAACTGTGCGGCATTCCTTTGCTTAGAAACCATTACGCTTCCCTGGGACAGACTCAATTCCAATGAAGGCGATTTTCACGTTTAGTTACCAGCATTTCAAATCGGCCGAAGGCATCATACAACTCTGCAGTTATTATCACTGGTGATGAAATTCATCAGAGGCAGACATGTAAAAGAAGGATACGTGGAAAGCTTCAGAACCATAGCCGAAACTCGAAATGACCAGACCTAAAGGAGTCGGTAGGATGCAGTAAAAGGGACAGACAAGTCGGTTGTGAAGTGATGATATATCAAGATTGCTGCCGCCAAAGAGATGTAGTTCACACATCCAAAAACTAATGAAGCCAAACCCTTTGCCTACTCAGCTATGACCCAACCAACAGAGTGGTGCTTCCAGTATCCATGATAAATTACTGGCGAGATCAGACGAAATATACCGACCTGGAAAAGCAAGAATTTTCCGTGTTGCTCGCACTAGGCCCAGAATTATACAGGAAGTGAGATACGATAGTAAGATGGAAGGAATAGGAAAGTGCTTCTGAATTCTCGACTACGCTATATCAAATCAGACGACAACGAAAATGTTAACAAGCACCGGATAAACTAGTTTCTCACAGTAATTTCCCTGTTAGCCGGTAATACTAATGATGAAGCCATCGACACCTTTCCAACCTCTGCTAAAGAGGATATTAATAATAACAACAATAACACATATTCTCGGGTTGTCGAGACGCTCTTTCTGGCAATGGTTAATATTCCTTTTACTATTGTTTTGTTTAGTATGGCGTCTACAATATAGTCTAACTGTTAGATAAAGGTCAGGATCATAGCTTTATCAGCGATGGTTCTCCAGTTCAAAGCCCCAAATGGATATAGAATACTTTGTGGCGTACTGATGTAGAGCTTATTGTGCGGATGGAACCAGGTTCACTTTTCCTTGGGTTGAGAGATAAAGAGCAATTATGTAGTGATAAGAGGAACATATTAACTAAATTTCAAATTAAGTACAGCATCTAATTTATGTAAAAGATTATCTATACATCGTGGCATTCTAAAAAGGGATAGGGAAAGACGAAGGTTCTTATTTATTTTAAGCTTAGTAGCTATACACGTAGGCCGAGACAACCATACGGAGAGATTGGTTAGCTGTGTGAGGCGAACGCAATTAGTACTTTCCAACTGGTTCAGACGTTTCGGTTTAACTGTACTCTAGACGTTGAAAGTAATAGGAAATTCGGGAAACATAAGGGTGAAAATGTAGGAAGCTTTCCTCTCCCGCCTGACATGTTTGCATGAGAGTCACAAGCAAAGCGTTGCCGAGTAAAAAAAGAACGAATGAAAAACGTGAATGGAGCAGGGTAGATTAAGTCAACCTTGAGAGTGACTCCACACAACTGATCAGTCTGGAGGCTCACGAGAGGTGCAGCCCAGGGCAACTAATCGGATCATGGATAGATACAGACAATCGTGCAGCCCGTACTTAACATAGCAATACATCAAACCAGGGGCTAGTTGCTAAGCGTGAAAAAAATGGGGGAAGCAGCCGGGAGGATCGGCGCTCAGTCTCCATATCTTCAAATTTGACTATACTATCCATGGAAAGCATGCACATGGACTATAAAACAACAGGCGCCATGGAGCATACACGTATGCGCCAACCATCGTCCTTTCAGCTGAACAGTTTGAAAGCAGGTTTCAATAACGAAAGTGATGTGAGAAGAATGCACTCTAACCGTTGTAAGATGAAAAGTAACGAAGGTTAATTACCAGAGGTTGTAGGATTTGTACCTTAAGGATCATTAGACTCTGCTCAACAGCGGGAGCCACAGTTTAGCGCCCCTTGTGTCCAGTTAACGTACACACTAATGCCGATTGCTTTCGTTGCTCTTGAATCTACAGCTCCTGGAGAAACTCCGAGCAGAATCAGAGAAACTCCGTGCTGAACACCGTGCTCTCGTCCGAGTGGTATCCCGATTAAACCGAGAACAATGAATGATACACAGTGTGGACCAACAACTCAAACCATACCCAAGAAGGGGTAAAAATTGTATACAGCCCATGATGTACGTAACGGGTACCATTTCATGTTATCAGGATTCGGAATGCTGTGTTTGTACATTTTCCGAGTATTTGCGCAAACATGAAATGCCTGCAGTAAATCTACTTTGCATTCACTTTAATTCTTACTGGCAAGCAAAAGTGCAGATGTTGTCGCGGCTTAACAATAAACCCAATTTCTCAGCATCTTGGATGAGCGGAGAAAAGTAGCCCTAGTCTGGTGCACAGACAGCGTCAGCGATCCGGACCAACAAGCTGCTCTATGACTGTTGGTCACCAATTCCCGATAACCAGCCTATCAACCTGAAGTCGATAGGGGGTGGTTTCCATGATTAAATCAATGGAGTAATACAGAAGAGATGTGCAAGATACCTCTAGCTTTAGAATTAGAGGCCAAGATCGACAATATGATGTTTCTCCGGGACTCAGATAAGCTGTGGTGTAATCAATGGTCCAGCTGCCCATAGGGCTGATTTAAACCAAGAAGGCACATTTTTCGCTCATCGTAACGCATGGGGAAATGATGGGCCTAGTCAGCACGCACGGCTACTAACATTAACTTTGCAACCGTATGAACTAGTGAGAGACAGAATGCGAACTATCTGCAGGCACGCTGAGTTCTTGGAATCATTGAGAGTAGAAGGTCATATCGAGAAGACCCAAAGATAAGGATGGGTAAATAAACTGGCGGAGTTGGCTCCAGTATTTGAAATAAAACGGCTAGTGAGCGAAGTAACTTTTCCGACTATAATAGTAGTTGGAAACGGGCTTTAGAACCGAGACGGTCATACACAAAACACTTCATAAGGTAGATTAAGATGGGAGCCCCTGTGTGACGAGAATGGTGCGGGCTCATAGAACAAACGTTACGTGTGTATGTGAAGTACGTCGCTACAGAAGGTGATCATGCGAGGATAGCAGGGAGTAAAATCGTTACCTGTAACATGAGGCTAGCAACATACGTTCAAAGACAGCTTTGCGCGAACCAACCAGTGTGGTTCATTGTCCAACAGCAGATACTCAGCCAAAACGTGGGGGAAACGTAGACATGTGTGATTCTCGGTGGAGTCATTGAAAACGGTGAAAAAAGACAAGAGAATCTGGTCAGTCGTGCAAGTACTGATGCGGCTGAACAAGAGCTTTTGACGCATTCACCTGGGCAACATCACGGGGCTGTTCCAATTTGACAGCAAATGGTAAAAATACGTGGTGAGATGTTTTGCTCAACGACTAACATTACACGGAATAGTAACTGCCAGATGAACGTTCACGGGTACAGCGATCTGGCGTGCAGATCTGCTTGAGTAATCAAGAGATTACAAGCTGCTAAGGAACATGACGTCACAGGTCGGGTAGGAGTGGTGCACAGTCGACCGCAGTAGTTTTCATAATGGATAATCTGCGAGAGAGGATCCAGATTGAAAGCGACTGGGTTACGCGATGGTTAGATTGACAGGAAAGTACTCACTTTATAGCTACTATCGCAACTTCGTCAGAGTATGGGGGCTAATGTCTTGGATAAATTCATAATACCGACTGAAGTTGTAGCAAACGGCATACACTATTGTCGTCAAAGTTGTTTTATCACCAACAATGGGTTCCTATTCTAACGGCTCATCTTATATACAAAGCCAACTCCCCATCAATCGTCAACGTATAATTATGGCACAACGATTAAAGCACTCTCGCCAACGTAAGGAGAGGGCTAATAACCAACAAAGAATCTGTAAAACAGAAGACAATGCGGTGATTAAGAAAGGTCATTCGAATAGTGCACAAAAAACAAGTGACACAAAATAGCTGAACAGGAGAAATACAAAAGCAGGCAGGAGAATGTCACTGTGGGATATGAAGGTGTGTGTGTATGAGGCAATTTTCAGCTCGATGGTTGAAGCGTAAAGACCGTCATGACAACTAGTGGAACAACAAGGTTGTCGATTTGCTCGGTGTAGGCCTCGACCAAAACCCCCGTCGCAATGGGAAGCAAGCCAACTCGCCAGGGCCATCTATGATGGCGCGACAGAAGTAGCCAGAAGAGGAGCTAAGTAACATACGGAAAAGTGTAAATATAACTGGAGGTAAGGTAATCCAATAAGAAAGAGCAGTAGTCAAAATGATGAGCAACAGTCAAGTAATGAAAATTTGTCTCAAGAGTGGAGTGGTATGCTGATGATAGATTCGTACTTTGAGAATTGGAGAGGCATGTGACACAGTTGCCGAAAGCTTTTAATCACACATGAAAATCTCCACTTCATCTGTGAACACGAGTTTGGACACCGGTTACTTTTTCTGGAGGTAGAAATTATCCGTAACTCAGACGGATCTTGCAGAAGAAAGGTACACAGAAAGTATACATGAACTGGGCAGTACACTTACTACACATCGCAATACCTTTACAGCATAAGATGAATTTAATCCGATCTCACGCCTTCGCAATTTGTCTCACATCTGGTGGGAACACCGAGTGAGCAACGAGCGTGTTCGACGTCTTGTTTACGGCGCAGAAAGAGGAACTGAACCGCTCAGCACCGTTATTTCACGCACCAGGCTCAGATGGCTCGGCCACGTGTTACGCATGCAAGCCCACCGACTCCCGCGACGTGCGTTGTTTGCGCGCCGGGGGTGTGGATGGAAGGAGAGGAGGGGTGGCCAAGCGATGACTTAGTCGAGAGGAAGAAAGGCCCTCACTTCGAAGCTGGCCTCGGTTGGAGCATCTCGGCTCCCTGCTTGGAGTCCGAAAGACGATGAACACGTTTGGCTGGATACACTTGTTGATATGCCAAGGAGCCGACCTCAGTGGCGTTCGTGCTGTGAGTTTCTTTGTCTCACCTCATCCCTCTTGGCCTCCCCCTCTAACCACGATCTCACTAGTTAGCCTTATATAATTTTGCATAGTAAACTTTTTTGCTGCACAGTAGCCGGCTGGTAGCTTACCGGAACGATGTCCATCCGTTCCCGGTAGCTCAGCTGGCTTGCATTTGTTTCATTTTTTCCGTTCTTTTCTTTTATGTATTGCGGCACAGTAGCTGAGGTGTTTCCCACCTCTAGCTAACGTGATGATAACTCACTTTCAGGGCGTGCAGCATTTGCACACCGGATACCGTCAACGAAGAAGTGCATAAAATCAGCAACATACTGAGCAGAAATGGTTATCCTGACAAATTTATCAACAAGCATTTGAAGGAACGCAAACGAAAGGCCCTAAGAGCATTGCCCCCAAGAAATAGCTTTTCATAAATTTACCATTTAAGAGCGATTCTGCCGCTGATATCTAATCTCGACGCCTAAAAATGCTGTTGAGAAAACTTATTTCGCGGTCCGCTTGAGTATTGTTGAGTACAACAAGTCTGCTTATAGAACCCTTGAAAGATAGACGGCTTTCGTTGACCCGTTCCATGCTCGTTTATAAAACACTTGTGTTCCTGTGGTGCACGATACATGGATCGCATTACGAGACGCCTATCTCAGATGATTCGCGAGCCGATCCCAGCGTAGTTTTGCAAAGACGAAATGAGCCTCTCAAACAGCTCAACTAAATCGCACCTCCTTCGTTGTGGTCATAAAATTCCAAGTCATCTACTCATTTTCTGAACAATGTTCTCAAGGCTACCGTAAGCAACTCTTGTCCACTGCCGCGGCTATTTGCATCCACCATATGAAGTCCTAAAGTGCGTATGCAAAAACGATTCATACGGCCGACACTACTATCGTAGCCAATTGACACTGTTATTTAGCTACATGGTTGTTAACTTTGCTATTTATTTCGGACCACTGAGATTGATGTATTAATGTTCTCTTAGGTCACTTGGCCTACCATTTATAGCCCAGTTTTCATTTGACCATTCGAATAATTTAGAAGTCGATCTCCAGCTCGATTTGACTCTTAACACTTGGCACACATAATCAGTGCTATGTAAACGTTTGGATCTGACAAGTTAACCGAGAAGAATTCTCAACCCAGCACTAAAATCTTCCCTTGATTCCTGTTAATGAAACGGCCCATCTTTATCAACTGACATGCGTAGCACACCAGATATCAGAATGAAAAGAGTCCAGTTCGGTTCAGCAATCCACTCTCGGTAGCGTGGGCGGGGGTCTAGCAACGCTGTTGGTGTTCCACTAAGTATTAGCGCTGTCAAATTGGGACGTAGCAGGCAATTAGCGCAAGCTTTTCCAAATGATTCGCACCACTGGTCTCAGGAAATCAGTTGTCAGAGAGACAATCAGAGATGACGCGGGTATCTTGACTCATAATAAGGAACACCGTATGGCTCGTTGGGCGGAACAGTTTAAAGATCAGCTTAGTTGTCTCCCTGCTTCCGGACCCCTTTCCACTCAGGTGGTGCAGACTGAGCCATGTACGGTTGGTTTAGAGCAGTGGTTCTCAACTTGGGGGTAATTACCCTTAAGGGAGTAAAGTGGAATTGAGTCATCAATCTGTCGTCAAACAAAACTAATAACAAAATCATCCGTATCAAAACAATAACTAATACCTAATCACTATTGATTAGCCATCATTGACTAATCATTAGTGAGTGGTCAGTGAATTAGACATTTTCGGTAGTAACTTTTATTACCTAAACTACGAATACAGGTCTGCAAAGCAGCGCAGCTACGTGGCGACGCTATTGGTTCGCTAGTCGATCGTTCTTTTGTGTAACGCAGTCGTCCGCCAGGATGAAATACAGAGTTGAGTGAACACCAAGGTGGGAGCATAAGTCGGCCGACCAGGTAAAAGAGCGAGCGAATGCTGACAAGATAGAAGGGACAAAACAGGCGATTAGTGTTCAGGGCGTATCGATACAGAGTGGTGGTGGGAAGCTGTTGTCCAAGAAGGAGTTGGAAGGAATAGTTGAAACAGATGGGAAGCCACTAACATATGTTCATGTTTGATCAGAGAACACACAACAGAGCAAGGAACTGAATGGACTTGGAGCACAACTTACAATGTGCATTAGCCAAAACCGCACCAAATATAAAATAAATTGTTGGGACTGAGCAATATAGTGAACCCACATTGTGGGTAACAACCTTAAAAAGGTTGAGAACCACTGGTTTAGAGGTTCCATCGGAGGCTGAAGTCCGAAACACGATCACAGCCCTTACTCGCTTTCAAGCTGCTGGCCCGAATTCGCTCACACCCGCACTAGTTAAGGATAGTGGTGAGGTCCTCTGCAAAGCACTGACCTACCTGTCCGAACAGGTCAGGAAGGGAGGTCTTCCCAGCTAACTAGATTGGATCGATTATAGTGGCAATATACAAGAAGGGCAGTCGCGCTGACTGTGCTAATCATAGAGGTATTAGCTTAACGCCGGTGGTGACAAAATTACTAGCCTCAATTCTCGATCGTCCCCTCACTGTGGAGCGGGAATCCCGGATTAAAGAAGAGTAGACAGGTTTGCGCTCAGCACGTATCTGTGTAGACCATATATTCACTCTGCGGCAGGTGCTGAAGCAGCGCCACGCATACCGCAGACCGACAATAGCTGTGTTCCTCGATTTCAAGAGTGCGTTCGATTCAGTCGATCGCTCCATTCTGTTCGAAATACTTGCGCGGAAAGGTGTTCCCACGAAATATGTGAACATCTTACGTGCTCTATAATCGAACACCGGAAACCGCGTCAAGGTCTACAGTTACCTGTCGGATATCTTATCAACAACAAGTAGCGTCCATCTAGGTCGACCAACTTCCCCATTTTTGTTCAATTTCGTCATGGAGTGTTCCCTTGTGCAGCTTTACGATGCAGGTGTTGAGGTGATTTCTGGTGAAGGGCTAGTTGATCTTGATTACGCGGAAGATATCGTCTTGCTGTTTATCGATGATGGGGCGGCCCAGTCAACCTTGTATAACCTTTCTAGAGTGGTCCCATTAGTTGGTGTGCGCTTGGCACATTCAAATTGTCAAGTGTTGTTGCAGGACCACCAGTCACTTGATGACCCCTTGGACCTTGATAGCGAGAAACTCGAGGCAGTTGATCAATTTACTTGCCTTGGAATATGCATCAGCGAGGATGAACAAATAGCCACTGGTGTTACACGTACTGCAAAAGCCAGAACTGCCTTTGAGTCTGCGACATTTGCGGAGTCAGAAGGGGATTTCCCTCGGTCTGAAAGCTCGTGTTTACAAAGACACAGTGAGGACCGTCCTATTCTATGGGAGCGAGACATGGCCCCTTCGATCTGAGTCGCCTTCATCGATATCAGCGAAGCACTGCTGGTGTTTGATGGCACCAGCGTGTCCGCAAGGATGATGTGCGTAAGCGAGTACTTAACAGTGATAATCAGGCTAGTTCCTTGGAACAACAGATAGCACTGAATAAGTTACGTTGGCTTGGGCATGTATTGCATATGATAGGTCACTGCTTACCGAAGAGGGCTTTGTTTTGTTTGCCAGGTGCAGGGTGGCGCAAGGCTCGAGGTGGGCAAAAGTTAACCTGGCAGAGAGACATGAAGTCACTGACGATCAAACTCGGTGCTGTTGGTGCGTCTCGCCTTCTAGGATGGAGTTCACAAGACATGGCTTGTAGTCTACACCAGTGGCGTGTCTGCTGCCGTCTCGTAGTTGGACTGCCTGTTTAAAGTGTGTTGGTGCTGACTTATCTGCGGGGCAATGGCTGATTATGATGCGGGTCAGTGAAAGCGAAAGGATGCTTTCTTGTCGATGTCGCCTTATCATTGAACGATAGTCAGCTGCTTGTGACGGTATGTTGTTGACTAGGTGTATACGCCTTGACCCTGGATGTTTGCTTAAAGCACTAAGGTGTTATGCTAGGTCCCTCTTCTCTACCTGTTATTATTCTTCGTTTCTTAGGTCACCGTGACTGTACGGGAGCTAAGCATCAGTCTGAATGGCTAAAGTAATACTGTCGATGATGATTTTTAACGTACCAAGAAGTGTTATTGAGATGAGCACCCTGTGCGGACCCCAAAGAATGATACAAAGCGTGAGAATTCAATGCACCGTCCATTGCAGGATAATAATGTTGATGCACTGTCGGAAGCAAGCACGAGCTCGGAGACGAAAATACCAGACTAAGATGACTATACGTTCTCTCAGCAAATTGCATCCATAGCGCTTTCAAATTCCTCTTTGAGGAAATCATATTCCTCTATAGATCTCTCAAGATGGTCCTTAAAGCTATCAAGTTGCATCCCAAGGGCGTCAACGATTCTAAATACTACTGTTCATTGAGTGATCAATCTCAAATCGAGCAATAACATCCCACTCTGTGTGTGCATCTGTTATATCGTCGGCTGATTTGGGGTTGATTATTCAACGAACAGTACACATATTTTAGGCATGTTTGCGCTCGTTGGATGCAACTTGATAGTGTTAAAGACCATCTTTAGAGATCTAAGAAGGAACATGATTTCATTAAGGAGGAATTTGAAAGCGTCATGGATGAGAAAAAGTATCGATTAGATCCGTGAATGGCTTTAAGCAACTTTAATCAAAGAGAGATGGGCGAAAAAGACTCGAATGCCACCTTTAAGAAAGTGAATCATGAGGAAGGCAAATGAAAAGAATGAGCACATGCGTGAGAGAGACCAGTAAATCCAGCACAGGAAACAGAGTCCTGCTCTTAGGGATCTTAGCGAAGGGTGAAACGCTGCCAATTCATCTTCCAACTAGCTCACTCAACTCACCAAATACCGATGATTTTTACGGCTCACGGGTCTGAATACATAACCAACGCACACGGGCTTTCAAAGGACTTAAGCGGGCGGCTTTCCGCCGGCGCACCGTCTGATTCCGAGGTTATGTGGCGATTCGTCCGCTACGCAGCTACAACACGCCCATCATATAATGAGGATTCGGAGAATGATAAAGAGTATAGAGGTCAAAAAGACGAAGTGATCAGGCATAATTATCAAATCCGAACAAGTGAACTACCGTGTACACAGTACCTGACCCAAATAGGACACAGCGGAACCCAGGAAAGTGCGATGGGATCCAGGCCAGCGAAGTCGACCCCATGCTCGGCCAATCAAGGCTGCCAGGGTATCACCGATGGCGATCGACAGGACGCCGGACCAAGCCAAAGGCGGGGGTTCCCAATTGGAACATAGATGACCTGAGCACGGAAAAAATGAACGCATCATAAATGAACGAAGAAAACAACCAAAATGTAGTTGTGCAAAAACATGACGAAAAGGAAGAAAAAGTTGGCGGCATATTTCCTCGGATAAGTTAAAACATATGTATGGAAAGATACCGGAATGGTGGGCATAGTTAAGAAAGTATCACAGCAGAAATATGAGTGGCTTATCATTTCGTGGCAACAACTGACTGCGGGAGAACTGCCAAACATTTTGTATCACGACAGGGATTCTTCTGGTTGAGACGTTGAGATTTCTGTTGAGTTGGTCGACTTGCTGACATGGCAAGGAGCCGACCTCAGTGGCGTTCGTACTGTGAGTTTCTTTGTCCCAACCCATCCCTCTTAGCTTCCCCTGCAACCGCGATCTCATTATTTAGCTTTATATAATTTTGCATAGCAATTTTTTTGATGCACAGTAGGCGGCTGGTAGCTTACCAGAACGATGCCCATCCGTTACCGGTAACTTAGCCGGCTTGCACCAATTGCTTTTTTTCTCTCCATTTCTCTATGTATTGCGGTACAGTAGCTGAGGTGTTCCCCACCTCTGGCTAACGTGTGTGATGATGATGGTCGACCAGCGTATAATACTGTTTTTGGAGCAGTTCCGGAAGGCAAAAAGTGAGAGTGGGCGGGATGAAGCCCAACCGAAAATGAAGTCAGTTAAACATTTACCCTTATAGATTACGGACGTGGTGGGTCAGATATTTAGCGGGTAACGGTGAATCCCGCCGTTCATAACATTCGGGTTAACCAGTACAGCTAGGTGCATGGTAACAAACTGAGATCCGTTACAAATCCTCCAGATGGACGAAACTGTGGACGAAAACCGCTTAGAATCACAGGCGTCCACTCAAAGACAATAAGACGGAAAGTGAATTGTGTACCCCGAGAGATGTGATAGTTGAGGTGGAAACAAAAGTGGTGAGTTCCTTATGAGCTGTCGGACAACGGGGTTCTTGCCACTAATCGAGTGGAGCGTCAGTGGACATCCATGGGTATTAAATACTGGAAATCGTACCAAGGATACTCCAAACGGAGTGAAACAAAGTAGGTGAGAATCAGATGAGCAACATTTTGTTGGAGCGAGAAGAGCCGTTTGAATTTAACGAATGAACAAAATGGTGCTTGTTTGAGAGGATTAAAATGTTCTCTATTTTCAAACTCACTCAAGTCAACTGACTGATGTGTTATCGAAGGGACTGGGAACCAAATCGGAATGCTGAGGCCAAGTAGAAGAGCGATCGGAGTGAAGATCAAATCACCAGAGTCGCGGCTATCACGGAATGGACCAAGTAGATCGTTTAAAGTTTGTGCATATTTCTTTGGCTACAACGAAAGCAAAACGACCGGAGTATGGTCGAGAACTAAGGGGGAACGAGTAGAGTGACACGGAGGAGAGAAAGGTGGTGCCTTGGGCTCTTTGTTTTTTGACCCCCTACTAAAATCCAAATAGACCATGGAAAAGTAAGTGAAAAGGGATTAGTCAGTGTGGGACAGTTAGCCTTAGAATGATGAAAGGCATCATCACATAGAATGCTGTGAAATGGACGGTGGCCGATAGTATGTCCCAAAATAATTAGGCTGAGCGTTCAGTAACCGGATTTTGGCACAAGAAAAGCGATAGAAACGCTCAGCACTGTTCATTCATGCACCAGTGCCCGATGAATGTGTCTGCTGCCAGCACGCCGCCTCCAGAGACGTGCGACACCTACGCGACCGAGTTGAGGAAGTAAGGAGAAGAGGGGAGACCAATCGATGACTTGGTCAAGAGGAATGTTCTGATTTTGTACAAGGGCTCAGTTGGTGCGTTTTGACTCTCTATTTGGAGTCCGAAAGATGGTGAACACGTTTGGTTGCAGACACTAGTTAACATGTCGAAGAGCCGGTTTCGATGACGTTTGTGTTGTTTTTTTTCTTACGGTTATCCAAATGCGTTGTATCATGGTATAATCGTTGAAATGTTTCGCACCTCTAACTATCATGTGGAATTATGACTTTAATTCGATATTCCTACTCCCAATGTAGTACGGTACACTTCAACTGTTACATTATTCGACAGCGGCTGCTTACACACATTCAAAAAAGATTGACCGAAGTAGAGTTTTGCCTGTTTGCAACTTATTGACCAGAGGCTACTTAGTTTGAGAAGAATAGAGGCAGCTCGGTGAGCAAAGGCAGTGCCCTCAAACAAACTCAGACCCTTGTGTTTCGTACCAATCTGAGCTTGTAACTCATAACTGTTGCCTCCCGTGTCTGAACTTTGAAATAAAAGCGCCAACAACCTCTCTTTAACCTTTGATGAGGTGGATCTTGAGATGAAGATTGCGTGCTCCAACAAAGCCTACCTGTATGGCGTGAGCACATTAGTTATCATCTGAAAGACGTTTCCCATCGCAACTCAGTGGACTGCGGAGGTACGGTGATAATCAAATCACGTTAAGATCTATCCTCCACGTACATACTACGGTGCTTATCACGTACGCCCTCCCATCAATTACCGATGTAATGGTTGGGTTTCATGCCAGAAGTTAGACGTCATTACACTCGGGGTGAGTAGTCATCGTCTTTTTATTACACTGCCTAAGCTTGTCCATCCCAATTACTCGTATCCGACCACATTATAACTCGAAATTTTTCGCTTTTCCCAAACCTGCTACAAGTGATGTTTGTCTTCTACATTCGACTCACACGCAACTGCAAGGCGTTGATGGGGTCCGCATCATCAATATACGTTAGCTAAGGGTGAGAAACACACATGAGCTATGATGCCGCAATAAAAAGGGATAAAACACAAAACGTTACAAAATGGACAGCAATTGTTTGCAGAAGCATCGTGAGTAGCGTTCAGGCAATGAGTAGATCACTTTGAAGTCGTTCTCTGATGCTGCATGGCCGTATTCAAGGTGTGACAAAATCGAGCTGTTAGAAGACTTCATTTCACTTCTGGATATGCTCGCGGACCCGCTGGGATAAACAGCACGAAGTGAAACTGGCGTACCGTGCACCACAGCAACACGAGTAGCTACACAAGCATAGATTGAGCCAAAGAGGGCAGTTCATCTTCCAGGAACCTGGCAAGCAGTAGCTTATTATAATAAACTATTCTCAAACGAGCTGCGGGATGTCTTCACGACAGCGTCTTTTAGGCGTCGGGATAACAAAGCAGCGGGTGCATAAAAAGTTCTTTCTTCGGAGCAATTCTCCTAGGTGGCTTAAGTTCATGTACCCTCAGATGCTCCCGGAAAATTTGTCCGGGTATCCATTTGCTCTAAAGCGTCGCTGATTTTATGCAGTTCCTTACTGACGGTATCTGGTGTGCAGATACTGTAGGTTCTGAAGGCGAGAAATTGTACCAAACCGTTTATTATAGGAGCATCTTCACACAGGTGTAGCAATCGCTCACCGTTACCATTACGGGAGCCTACACCGTGTTGGCTGCCCAGATGAAGCTACTCAGAGGACAATTTTCCGACTTGAGGGTTCAAATCACAAGCAAGTACCACAGTATCCGCACTTTTTCTGTAACGGAGGAGAGCGTTCAGTTGGTGATAGAAGTCGTTTTTCACCGAGTGAGCGCTATAATTGGTGGGCGAGTAGGCCGCAATGACAAACAAGCGACTTCGAGGCTCTGAATGAGCCAGCCAATCTGACAGCGCACATCCGGCTGTTCAGTGGGATCCAATCGATCAGCGCAGTTTCAGCACAGGGACTAAGAGCAATGATTACGCCGGCTTGACCAGCGCTTGAAGCCATCACATCTCCGGACAACTGCAATGAGAAAATGCCGCCAGTGTCAAACGTTGGGGATCGCAGGGTTATCACAGAACTGGAATTCTGCAGGTGAGTTTCTAATAAGCAGCAGATCGATTGATAGGGTCCCCAATGTTCGGGCAAGCGTTGCCTGTTGGCCAACCTGCAACAAAGTGCGTACATTGAGGCATGCGAATCTTAGGGGTAATCGGGGACTCCAAAGAGAAGCAGATGAACTGACGTTGTCCGTTTGACTGGACATGAACTTGTTGACTGGACCGGAGCGACGCCCAGCGATTGCGTGAGTCGAGACAAGAAAATAAACGATTAATGAAGCAAGATGGGAAAGGGCCAAGAACTGGGGATTGAGAACAGGGAGGATAAAAGTGAAACTGGAACGAGACGATAAGGGTGAAAAAGCGTAAGAAGACGGGAAGGCTTGAGCAGTAGCATCCAAACCCCAATCCACCCTGCTCGATGCAGCAGACAGGGCACCACACACAGGGCACCTCTGTGACGGCCAGAGCATCGAGAAATTGTTTGAAGATTTGAAAGTACCAGTTGGAAAATTATTCACTGATGAGCTGCATCTAGGCGGTCGACACAGTGTAGATTCCCGTAATGGTAACGATAAACGGTTACATTTGAGCAAAGATTTTTGTCTATTTCTTGCGGGTAGTAACTTAAGACACAGCACCCCTCGGAGGGCGATATGGCACCCACCAGCCTCGAACTAGCCATGGACACAAATCCATCGCGGTCATTTAACGCTGGAGCGGCCGCCTCTAAAATTGGAAATTAAGTTGGAGCACAAGTGTGAGCTCCGACCATGCACTTGTACGTGTTGATCAGTGCGTGCGTTTGAAGCGGACGTTTGAGTCAATCATCATCATATCAATACAGGTTATCAGGGTGAGAAATACACCTCAGCTAAGTGCCGCAGTACACTACAAAAAATTCAAAAGCAAGTAATATAGAGTTAAATATTATATTATGCATTTCGTAGATCGGAATTGTAGGGGAAGGGGATGGACAAAGAACCTCACGACACAAACGCCATTGGGGCCGGCTCTTCTTCATATCAGCAAGTGTGTCCAACCAAATGTGTTCATCATCCTTAGGACCCCAGCCAGGCAGTCGGGATGCACTAACCGATGCCAGCTTCTAAGTGAGGGTTTTCATTTATCTTGATTAATTCATCGCTTGGCCTCTCCTCCTCCTCTTCCAACCGCATCCCATATGCACAAACAGTGCACATCGCGGAAGTCGGTGTGCTGGCATGTGATATATGTAGTCCACCCATCGAAACCTGGTGTATGATATAACCGTACTGAGCGGTTCACTCACACCTGCACCAAATACGAGACGCCGAACAAGTACACTGCTCACGCGGTGCTCCCACCAGACATGAGCTAAGCTGCGAAGGCAGCAATGATCGAACGTGACTAGCCTCTTTATATCTGTCGACCTGATGGGCCAGGTTTCACAACGGACGGCTACATTACAAACTCTGCCCTTCAGGGGGAGAGTGATGTCGCGTCTGTGCCACAGGTGGCGGAGATTCGCAAAAGCACCTCATGATCTTGCTATATGGTTCGTAATATCATCTTCGATCCCACGGCGCTAATATAACTGCCTAAGTACTTGAATTTCTGAACGGCTTCCAGATGATCACCACCAAGAGTCAGCGCAGGGTTGGGTCCCTGTCAATCTTGGAAAATGACCGCACAGATTCTTGCGAAATGGTGATGCCGGAGGCTCTGAATGTATATCAAGAGATGCTAGCAGCCCATTGAACAAAGCTAAAAATCATGGTCATGTATACGACAGACGTTATTAGCAGCGGTGTCTTCGTGTAACAAAGTCAATCGCTATGATGGGCAATGGGTCTCTACGCGATCTCTAGAACTTGTCGATACTCACCGAAATATTCCAGATATAGGCGAACATGATGAGACGAGCAAAGATCACAGGGTAAAACTGAGTGCTAACCTCAGGAGATCGCGAATATTGGTGGTCTCATCGTGCATCGGAGATGGAAAAGGCCACTGTTCTTTGGGACTCTGCCTAGGAAACGTGTACTACAGAAATAGGTAAAACAACACCACAGCACGGTACGCGCGTACTTAAGGCAGAGAGAGCTTACGGAAATCTGTTAACTTCCCTCAATATCTCCAGCAGCGAGAAACAAGCATGCGCCCATTCGATTTTTTAGATAAGACGCTATTAATAAAGTTATGAAAATTATCTTCAATGGAAACGATTTAGATGGTATACAGTTGCTTCCAGATGATGGACATCCCAAATCGGGAATGCTGACGATATTACTAATCTGTGACAACTTACAAATCTGTTGATCAGCGTTAGACAGATTAGCATTGACAGTTAACCGTCTACAGCAGTGATCTGCGTCTTCAAATGCAAAGCTTTAATCTAAGATTGACAGGGAACAACCTCGGCGCCGATATTTGCTGAGGATCCACGAATTGGGCGTCATCACCCATAGCAGCAACAGTAGATCAGTTACGCGAACTGAAGCTTCGCTGCTGTACAAACACAGAGACCTAGGAAACGAC